TTCCTGCGGAAGACACCAAGTTGTAAATTACTTCACAGGCGCTGGGTAATCTCCATTCCTTTGATCTCTGCCTATCCCGTGGCTCATTTTTGCCTGAGGAGCTGAAGCCATTCATAGGGTAACACGTCCCAGGCGGCTGGCCAGCCTTTATATAGGGATGGTTTTCTTGGTTCAATGTCTCCGTTCTGGTCTCCACTCTGGTAAGATGCATTAAAGCTTGTCTGCAGAAGGATCCGAGTGTCCTGCGTATGATTTCTTGCTGGCGAGAAATACAGAGCATGCGCGGGACATCTAACAACGATGTGACCCTGAGCTTGGGCACCAAGAGGCTTTTCAGAGGTGTGAGCTCACTCTTCTTGGTCTGGCTGTCAATGAAAAAGGGACTCAACACTTCTAATTCACTCAATCAGTGTGGTTAACAATAACTATTTCCTGTGGATTATTTCACAGGCACCACACAAAGTAGATAAATTTAATAAATAAATGTTTGAGAACAGCCAATCAACCAAAACAAACAAACAAACAAAAACCACAAGAGTTTAGTCAATTCCAGGTACAGGTTGTCCAAATCAATCCAGTCATTTTCATCACTATCTAACCAAATCAATAAATTAATACAATATGCTAGTTGGCTCTAAAAGAAGGAGTTCAGGGATGTGTGTTCTAAAACAAGACGTAATTAACAAAGACTGTTGGTTCAAGGTGGAAATCACTATGTTCTGATAGCTGAATTTGTACTTAGATTTTATGATTTGTGGTCAAGGATATCTGATTAAGTCTTATATAACCCTTTCCATGATCGTTAAACCCTCCCTTGGGACTGGAGAGATGGCTGGGATGTTAGGAGAACTCGTTGCTTTTCAGAAGACCTGAGTTCAATGCCCAGAACCCATATGGTGGCTTACAACCACCTTTAACTCCAGTTACAGGTGATCTGACATTTTCTGACCCCGATGGGCACCAGGCATCCATGGGATATATAATACATACATATAGGCAAAGACTAGCGCACAAAATATGTTTTAAACAGTTTTGTCTGAATTGAAGCAGTCTACCCTGTAGGGATGCTCCTTAAGCAGGCAGGTAAACAACCCCCAATAGCTTCAGGAAGTCCCTGACTCCACTCTCCCCACTCCCTCAAGAGTAAGCAACAAAGCTGCAAAGAAAGCTGAGACCAGAGAAGCTGCTGAGCAAAAGCAGAAACCAGCTGAGCTGCCTGGAAGAGGGTTGGAAAGGACATTCTCCAACCTGTGGTGCTGCCTGTCTGCCAGTCATTTCTGCTCCTCTAAGTAGCCCACAATAAAACTCAATAGTTCATCAAGTTGGACTTTGGTGGTATCTGCCATGAACTCCAATATCTGGGGCACATAGAAGTGCATTGCAGCTTCCCAGGAAAAGCTGTGTCACACAACAAATAAATCTAAGATGCCTCAGCCATCAGAAAGCACAGTTTGGCATGACACACACGTACTTTGCAATTGAAAGATTTAAATTCCTCACCTGGATCTGGCCTGATTCCCAGTGATTGCTAAAAGATTACTTGAATCTCTTTAAGTAAAGCAGGATATAAAACATTTGGCTTAGGGATCATAAAACATGGAAATGTAAAGCCTTTTACAGTGGGGTTATAACCTTAGAAATGGTTAAGCATGAGGCAGTAAAACCTGTCACACTGGTGATTAACACACAACACCAAATGTATGCTAATCTTAAGATTGTAAATGTGCTGCCTGTTCAAATTAGTTAAATGCTTTTGTAATCGTGTAGTTCTCTTTTGTGATTTTTGTGAACATTTTGTCTGTCCTAATTGATTGAACTCAACATCTCTGTATTCCCTGTATATTGTATGTCTATTCCAATATTGCTGCCACTCTATTCCAGTTTGGAGTGAGTAGCACGGCACCATGATTTTTTATTTTTGTTTTTATTTTTTATATTTTTAATTTTGCAACACTACTGCCTCTAGGAGTTCTTTGATCTAAATTTGGGGATACAACAGCAATGGTGGGTGGCTCCCCATGAACTTCACTCATCTGTGTGCTCGTTTACCAAGATGAGAAATAAGAATCTCAGGCCAGCCTTTTCCAAAGCATCTCACTGTGACATCATGGTCACTGTCTCAGCTTAGAGTGAGGAAGGAGCCTACAAAGGGATGTCAGAAGTCATAGGCAGGACTTAGGGTCAGTCTTAGAAAGAGGTCTGTGGTCTCTGGCTCTAGGTGTTGACAGAGCTGCATGGCCTTCCAGGAAGCCAGGGTAACCATGGAGTTCAAGGTCCCACTGGGGTCCTATCAACAAGTGTATGTATGTTCCTCTGGAAATGAACAGGATAGGGGACACAAACTAAACAAACACTAGCCCACTCAAGCATGTGGCTCAGGCCTTGCTTTTCTCCCTCATTCGCTCTGCCTCGCTAAAAACCGTGAGATTACATTCTAAAGCCAGTCACCACGGTCTGTTCCTTTATTTGGTCATATCCTCCCCCTGAGGCTGACTACCAAGGTCCAGCTATCATAGTATTGATGTCCAGCAATCAGAAGTCCCCCTTGGCTCACCTAATTAACATGCTCAATTAAAATTAAACACCTCATCCTAACATGGGGTTTCCCATTTTACCTCTCTATCCAGAGGCAGCTCTTTGTCCCTCTGGGACAAATACTCCTGCTTCCTTGGCCTTGTCTCCTTCTCTATCGTCCCCTATCTCCTTTGTCACCACATCCTAGCCCATTCTGACATAGACCTCCCCTTCTCCTCTTAAAAATGACACCTGTAAGGTCATTTGATGAGGTTTTTTGCCTGAGTCAGAAAGTGACCACTTTAACTTTTCTTCCTCACTTAATAAAGGATCTGTCTGTGAAAACAGAAGTTTGGGTATGGTTTTGCTTCATCTGGGGTTCAGAAGAAGGGGGTGCCTCCACAAACTTTCTCCCTTATTTCAGAAGTCAATGAAGAATTCATTGGAGTTTGCCAGTCTCT